ATTAGTCTCTTACACAAAGAACAAACAGACGTTCTGAAAGGAGGCTTCACAGCCTCTGGAAAAAAAAACGGACGAGGGACTCGGACGCTGATTATTTGTGGTGTGACCGCTCAGAGTGGCCGGCGCTGTGGGACCGCTGGCGCTCTGAGCGGGGTCGTGCTCCACAGCCAGTGGCTTCCTGCCTTTAAAAAAAGAGGACTGCGAGGAGAAATAGAGAGGGGGGTGTTGAGTGCTGAGCACTGCAAAAGGAACAAACACAGACGCGGGACGGCTGCCTGGGCAGGAAAAACTTTTCACCACCTCTGCTAATGATGGCTGAATTACCACCAGCAGCCCCCACCCTCCGTCCAGGGAAGAGCGTAGTCCTTTTTTTAAAAATCATTTCAGCTGTTAAACTGGAGCATTAGAAAATGCTTAAAAGGATGATTTAGCAGGAATGGGATCCCTCATACGACATTTTGTCCTGTCTCTCTCTACCTGCTGCTCTCTCTTTTGGTAATAGATTCCTCTTCTCAATTCAGCCGCACAAAAACCAGCCTCTCAGGTGGGAGCCAGAGTGATGAGTATATTCACCTCCGTTCTCCCGCTTTGTGCTCAGCTCGGCTCTCTGTGAGTGTGCGCGCTCTTTGGCTGTTTCACATGTGTGTGTTTTCTAAGCATAACGTTCCCACGTGCCTGTGCCCGCGCCTGGAGAGCTGAATCTGCATGATAATCAGCATTAGCAGAATGTTGAGGCTGAAATGTCTCAGTCTCAGTGAGCGCTTTTGTGGTTTCTGTTCGGTTCGGAAATGGAACTGGAGTGCTTCCTAAACACACGTTCAAAAGTGACACTGGTGAATGCGATTCATGAGGTGCAGTGTGTGACTGCCTTCCTCCCAGGTAGATTCAGCCCACTTCCTGCTGCCTCAGAGAGGCTGACATTAACCTCCTTGATGAGACGTTAGAGGGAAAAAAGAGGCAAAGAAAAAGAAAAAAGTTGTTTTTTAGGGTGAAAAAAAAACTGACCATTAATTTGGTCATTTCCATTAATGTGCTCCAAAGCTAATTCAGCACTATTAGAAAAAAGACATCTAAAAGGAGATAATACGGATAAAGAGAGATTTTTGAGGAGACACAAGAAAAAATGGAACAAACAAAGCAGAGGAAAATGCTTCATTTGTGTATCTGAATTGAACCGGGAGACGAAGAAATGGAGTCTGGGTTTTTAAAAGTAATCACGAGCAGTGGGATAAAAAGTATTTTGTAGTGAGTGTAGAACGAAAGTCCCCAGTGAGCATTTATACTGCCAACAGAAGGCAGGAGAGACAACAGGACTCAGAGTGAGTGAGACAAAGGAGAGAAGTGATCCAACACCTGCTGGATATTTCCCTCCTGGCTGTAACACCGGACTGAAAGCCTCAGGTGGGAAGAAGCTCTGGTCACACACTGATGCCTCTTATGGCTCCGTGCACCACACACTCATGAACATGAAGAGGTCGGAGGAAAAACAACTGATAAAATATCAGTTTAGTCACCACTGAAGCCTTTGAGAGTCCATGAGTTTAAGCGTCTTAAACAGATGCGATATTATCTTTTCTAAAAAATGTTAGGTCAGGCCAACTTGAAGATGACCTCCATCTGCTCACCACAGAGAACAAAACTCTGCAGTAAAGACCAGAAGTAGAGCCACTAGTCCATATGAAGTCAGCTCACATATCACTGTAATGTGTTCATGCAGAAAAGATCAATTTAAAATAACGTGATATGGACTGTTTTGTATAGTTTTCCCTTCTTAGGGATTTCCATTAATGTGCTCCAGAGCTAATTCAGCACTATCAGAGCGACCTCTCACTGAAAAAGACCTGATGCTGACTATAGCATGTTGAACAATCCAAAAAGCCATCAGACGAGTCCGGCAGACCTAACTCGGAATATCTAGGACACTAATGTTCCCTGACACTCCACCTGGTCCTGACGGCTGAGAAAAAAGCTGGAGGTATGCAGTTTTGGAAGCGCGGCTGTAGGCTTTTCCACCTCTGTTGTCAGAGCCAGCGTTTCAAGGGGAAACGGCCAGAGAAAGAGGAAAAAAATGGCAGGGAGTGATGACGATTGGGACGGGAGGAGCCATCTCTGTAATTAACAGAACAGAGTAGTCCAGATTTGGATCAAACGTTGATCTTAAGGTTCCACACAGGACAAAAATGGTTGTTATCGTCTACCTGATGAGTCTGGGACTTTTTTTCCAAAGGTTTAATTCTACCAACAAAACTAGAACATTCTGTCGATGTCAGCTATGGGGTTGGGGTGGGGGGGGTGGGGGGGTTGTTGGCCTGCTGTCAGAACAAACTCAGGGACACACCATGAAGAGCAGAGTTCTCACTTCATTACAGGCCAGCACCTCACCAGATGAAGAGTGAGAGTACTTCCTGACCCCCACCACCCCGGAGAGAGCTGGGGGAGGTAGTTAACAAGGAAAATGATCCCGAATACAAACAGACACAATCCCCCCCCTCTCCTCTGATCAGGGGGGGGGTGCTGTGGCCTTGGGAGTACAGCCTGGTCACCCCTGGACTCTGTGGAACGCACACACACACACACACACACACATACGCATTCCCCTCCTGTGCAGCTGCCAAAATCCTGATGTCTTCATCAATCCTGATCAACGGCCCTGTCAGACGCGGCGGTAAGATGGATGCAGAAGGGGCCGACCTCTGACCTCGGCCACTGGTGGAGAATACAAGTTCTGTGTGCCCCTCCTCCCTTGGCCCCCTTTTCTCTCCAAACATCTCCGGCTTCTGTGGGCTCCGCTGCCACCTCAAACAATGATGGAGGAGAGTATTCAGCCCCGGCTGGGAACCGTGGGCCTAGGTGCCCTTGGTTCCACGCGCACAAACATTAGCCCAGTGCCCCAAAACCCTCCACTTCTGAGTAGAACCTGGAGATTTGACACTCCAGAGGAGATAGGCTTCTTGAGGAACACTGACGATGTTTAAACCCAAGCCGGAAATAGTTCTGCTTAGCTCTGATACGACATGTGAAGGTATTCCATTTGCTCTTCACTTTTGATTTATTTAAACAATGATTTTGAGTTTGTTTTACGTTGTTAAACTTATTCTCGTATCTTTTAAACTCTTAAACTCTTTAAAAATGCACATGTAAACATAAATAATCTCACTGGTGGAAGCATAACCAGCACTTCTGCAGTATTTCCCAAAAGTTTTAATGTCATTAGACGGTAACCAACAGAGCTAAATCAAAGCTTTTCCTCGCTCCCCAAAAACAAGCTCTTGTCTGAGGACTTTTGGCTCAGAGGAGGGGAGCCCCTTGTCTCTGGTCAGAAGACCCACCAGCTCCTCAGTGCACTTGAAGATGGACGGTGAGCGGCACCTTCTAAGCCTCCTGTCACTGGAGCCAATCCAAACTAAGAGTCAACTGTTTAAAAAAAGAATATGAAGAGTGTAAGTGAAGCTAAAGAATGAAGTGACAGTACTGGCTTTATTCCCCCAAGCACACTCCGGCAGAAATGTGTTCTAAATGGATGTTTGGCTTGAGAGGCCGCGGTACTAATGGCAGGCTGGCAAACACACGGCGGCTGCATTACTCATATCAAGTCAATGCTTCCAAGTCTCCACAGCCGTCTTCTGAGGGGAACAGTTATTTATCTCAACAGGGAAAAACCTGATTAGGAGTTTGTTTCAGCGTTTCCAACGGAATCCAAGTAGGATGTTGTTCTTATTTGACTGTATAGCCACTCTGTAATCCAGTGCCTTCAATCTTTAGAACACAAACCTGGCCTGAGCTGTCTGAGCTACAGTAACAGATGAGATGGCGTTACTCCAAGACAGCCCTACCGGCTCGTGTGCTTTACATACAGACATACAGGAGCCCGTCCTGTGGCAGACCCTTTTCCCCCCACCCGCAAGCAGCCGGTGGTAACCCTAAATCACCAGGCCTGTTTGTCATGCAATTAGTCCTCCAAGATAAAGCCTTCCTCGTAAATTAGGAGCGGTGTAGCGGCCGCCCCTTGTTAATCACCCGTGCCCAGCCTCTGACCCCTCACTGCTGCAGTCCGCCGCTTCCTGTAGTGTGATGGTGATGGGTGGCGGTCGGGCGAGCCTACCGGTACGGCGTCAAGTCAAAATTGGCGTCCACTTTCCTGGCCAAATTAGAAAACTGCACACCCATCTGGCAAAACACTGAATGGGTTCCACAAAAACAGCGTGCCCATTAGCGAAACAGCATCACCACCAGCTACAGTCTGCTGTGCCCGACAAAATAAGCAAGTCAATGAGGGCAAATACCCGATGAAATCACGGAGCAGTTGGAGGAATCCTAACATGTTCATTGGATATCCATGTGAAATGCTTTGATTTCAGCGATATTTCATCAAATCTGAAGGAATCCGGAGGACGCTACTCTGTGCTGACCTTGAATCTCTATTAAACAGTCAGATGTAGAATTGCGGCCAGATGAGATTAGTATAATTGTCCAGAGGAAGCTTTTCCTCTCTTACCAGACAGCCCCATTTAAACCCCATTTCGACTCCTACCTGTTTGGAATCATACTGTTTTTTTCCTGTGCTCCTCCTGCTCCTTTAAAGCTGTCTATTGCCTCTCCAGCTTTGGGCTCCATTGGGAACAAGAGAACAAACGGGTGGGGGGTGAACAACTCTGCGGCGGTGCGAACCGGTTGGAGTTCTACACTCCTCTTCCAGTTTCACTGGTTCTCGGGGGATATGTCCCTTTGCACAACACCTCCCAACGGGCCTGCTAATTACTCCATTTACAACCATCAGGACCTCTATCAGCCAAGCTGACACTGGAAGGAAGACTGGAGCGAGCAGGGGAGCAAAGAGATAAAAAATAACCCAAAGACCGTCAGGCTGAGAGAAGGACAAAGGAAACAAATGATTGCGATACAAACTCAGAAACTGAGACGGGAGACGGGACAGAATTACAAATAGAATCCTGCAAGAGAGAAGGCTGCCTTAAACACCGTGTTAGACAGCACTGCTTTACCTTGGCATTCAGCGTTGCGCTCCTCATAGCCCGGGTTGCACAGGCAGTTTCCAATGGGCACCAGCCACTCGCCATCGGCTCCGCAGTACATCTTAGGCACCTCCTTTTCCTCGGAATTATCCACACACGAGCCGCGAACTTCCACCAGCGAGGAAGTATCAGCCCCGGTTATAGTATCAGGAAACTGGGCCAAGTTCCGCACGGTCAGGGGACACTTCTTGTAGAAGACCCTGACGGAAACCAACGCGATGCACGCTCCCACATCCTGGAAGGCCAAATAGAAACCCTTCCGGGTCAAGGCGCCCACGTCCCGGACCTCCGTGTTCAGCTTCATGATGCGATCGCCGATGTCCACCTGGGTGAAGCTCTCATCGGCGGCGATGGTGTCGATCTTGTTGAACTGGTTCTCTCGGATGTAGCGCTCTTTGTCGTTGTTGGACTCGTAGTAGTACAGGTTAAAGGTCTCCTTGCAGGTTCCCATGACCCCCGGCAGACTGTTGCAATCCCGAAGGGTGAACTTGATCTCGATGTAGACGCGCTGCGCCCCTCCGCGCGGGATCCAGTCGGTGCGGAGCCAGTTGTTCTGATTGGGCTCCATGACGTTACACACCTGGTACGTCCGGATGGGGATGTTCTTCTCGTCCATAATGCTCACTTCCTCCCACTGAGGACATAAAACATACACAAAATGTAACAAGGCCATCATTAGAAATGTTCAGTGTGCTTAGTGACTTACACAGGTAATAAACTTTAACTCTGATAAAAGCAGCAGGACTGTTAAGGTGCAGTGTGTCTGGTAGTCCTAATCACCTAATTATGAAGTTCTTAACTACAGACTAGGATGGTTTACAACATGAATCCGTGTAAAAGAAGCCGTGTACACAGAGGATTGTGTACACAGACTGTCTGTGAACAAGGGCCAAGGGGGTATGTGTGGACCTGCTCCATATCTACCCAAACAGCGGGCTAAGACACACATGTTCACTGACATTTCAGCGAGAGCTCATGAGGAGTAGGGAGAGTCTGTAGAGGACTTTGTCCAAAATGGCCTGGCTTATTTTTTCCAGGGGGGAATGTTTATTATACCTATGATACAGTTTCCCTCTGGACAGAGTACGATTGAGCAAATACAAGCACCAGTCCTCAGAGGTCTCAAAGCCCCCTCCAGTCTTCTCCAGTGTTTCTGACTGAGCGGGAGTCTAAACAAAGGCAGACAGTTCTTTGGCTGCCGCGGCTTTAACTATTTAGAAGCCTGGACAATATAAACATGAAAGGAATTCTGGGAGACAGAACTCGTGTTGATATGAGATGTGACATGTCTTATCATAAACATTGTGGATTAGAGTTATTTCCCCAGAGTGGAGCAGGATAATACTAAATACAGCTGCAGCCGTATGATTTGAGGAAAAATGTCTCTCCAGTCCCCGCCGCTCCATTCTACATTTCTCCCCTGTCTTTGTCCCTCTTTTGTTGTGGAAATCTAGTGGGGCCGAGATAAGGCTGCACCTTTTCCTGATAGCAGGGAAAAGGGAAAATGAGGCCAATTGGTCATAATGAGGGGGTGAATGCGGGGCCTGCTGTGGAAGCCAGGGCCCTGTCAATCACTTATTTGGGATAAAATGGCAGAAGAGAGGACCCAAAATGCATGGACAGACTGAAACTGTTCCCCCGGGCTTTAAGGCATTACCTTTACATGCCTGCTGCTGACTCCAATTCATTTGATTAAAAATGACAGGGTCCACGTCTAGTCTCACGTTATTTCTATGATCTGATACACCAGTTAGACTGTCTAATGGGGCATTTTGTCATCTCCCCTCCGTGGTGTTTTATAGGTGGTCATCCTTCCAGGCCGACTGCACCATCCTCGCATTCATCCATTTTAGAGGACCCTCACTCAGCGGCCAAGTTCCTCTCTCATAAGCTGAATGGTGGAGAGGGATATAAAGTTTCTCCACAAAGAACGATTCAAGACCTCATCTATTCAGGAAACCTGACGCCCGCTGCAGTATCAGCCCCTGCATATGACCATTACAGAGCTGGTGGAGGAGGGGGGGGGCTGAATTGAGGTTCTTATAGAGTGAGGGGGTTCATGGAGCTCACAGGGACCTGAAAGGATCCTCCACATGCACATTTACAAATTATATGCATATTTATCCATATCTATCCACATTGACAAATGGGATAAATATGCCATTGACAAACGGCAACACAGGCCTGAACCTCATCTGTGTGATGGTTCACTCACAGCTTCTGCCAATAAGAGATATCAGCTCTTTCTTTTGCTCAACAGGACACCGCGCTTTATAACAAGAGAAGGCTTCTTTTGCGATACTCACCCCTCCTTCTGTGGGGTTGGCGACCCATCCCAGCTCCCCCTGAACAGATCTGGAGTCCAACAACGTGACTGAAAAATAAAAATGAGTGGTGAGCACCATTAATCCAACTGGGCCTTACACTTATAGACGGAAAAGAGCGTCCTGTTTTTACTTATTTATTTGTTTTTATTAAAAATAGCAAATGTTAAAGCGGTTTTTATGTAATGAAAATATTATCATAATGAAAATAATTGTGGATGAGCAGATAAAAGAGCCAGGAGTCCTCAGACCGAAATGACTGAGTGTTTCATGGTGTTTCTCTTTAAAAATTAGTTCCTTCGTTTTGTCTTTAAATTACTTTATACCTGTTTAAAGGGAGTCCTGTGTGTAAACTTGTTTTTTGAGCAGGAAAAAAAATTGTAATGTATTTTCTTAAGCTAGAGAAAAAGTAAGCAAATATAAATTTGACTGAATAAGTTTGAAATGTGATATTTTCCTTAAGTCTTCCCACATTAACAAGGTAATTTATGCACACACACAAGATGCTTAAATTAATTGATCATTCTCCATGTTTCTCTAAATTGTAATTACCAGTAACACTATAATGCAGACATGTTACATCACTTGGAAACATTTCTTTAAAAATGACAAAAGACCAGCATGTGACACGACTTCGGATGTGATCTAATAAGTTCCATATATATATAAATTGTATATAATCTATGCGGCATTATATTTCTTCATCTAAAACCCCGCGGTCCCGGACTGTGGAAGGACAGCTCTGGTGCGCCTTTCTTGAACCGGACACTGCAAGCTCGGTCCGAATAGTTTCCACTTCAAAACTCAGCCGTCTCCATCTCAAATGCAGAAGGAATTCTGCTCCGTTCTCTGCTTTTAATACGCGATCGTGGAAAATGCGCAAAGAAGCTCACACCGATGGTTAGAACTGTTGCAGGATTTCGAACGGAACCGTGGAGTGCACCGAGCTCTGAAACAGATGGATGAAGAGCGACGTGCGCTGTGCACCCGTGTCTAAAAGTGACATTTAATTTTACATCAGTGGCAACTTGTGGTATTTTTACGCATTTTCCCAGATACTGTCTCCGCTTTATTCTAACTGACCAAAGAGCTTGTGGTCTGGACATCGGTGGAAATGTGTCGTGCCTGCACCAGAGCCCAGACCCAAACATTTGGCAACCCCATTCTCCCTCCAGTTGCATCCGCGTAACCCCAAACAAACTCCGGGGTGCCTCGTAAATGTGTTTTGGCCCTCATCAGACGTATGATGAGGGGCCACGGCCCCAGCGGAGCTAAGCGGGGGCTTGAGTCAGAAGTCCGGGGAGGGGGAAAGCGCATTCCTCTCAACGACCTTACCTTCGTTTGGGGGGTAAATCCGTGCCGAAGAAGCGAATAAAGAAATCCCCGAAAAAAGAAAGGTGAGCGCGAACCAAATCGCTGCCGTGAGAGCCATTTTCTGTGACTGTCCCCGTTTTTCTCTCCTCTTTTTTTCTTCCGTTGCTCTTCACTCGGGTCCAGCTCCCCCTCTCTCCCTCCCTCTCTTTCCCAGTGGAATAAGGCTCTGAGGCGGACAGCGGATACGGGAGCACGGAGCGCGCTACAGGCGGGAGGCGGGTCCGTGCGCTCTGACGCGGAGTCCTTCAGTCCACAAAGGAAAAACGCAAGGGACAGCGGAGCTGGGCCACAAACAATCATTAACTACACCCCCTATACTCCTGCGCACCCCACTTACTCATTTACCAGTGATTATCCGATTTGTGATTTGGTCGAGGGAAGAAAAAAACAAAAAACGCCGTGCGTCATTTCTACTCCAGAAACCCAACTTTGAGACACTGAACTTTGTTTTCGATCAGGTGGAAACAAACTGCCGTTCACTCATATTCATCAAAAATCAAATCGGCATCCTTGACTCGAAATAAGCAACCGAATCTTCCCAAAATTCTGGTGCACGAGTGAAAGGCGATGCGTCATTTGGTCCCTCGGATCTTCCCGCAGACCCACTGCTGAACCAGCATGTGTGTGCTGCTGGATCTGGTCAAGCGCAGCGAACTGCCCGGTGAGCCGGACCGGACCGGACCGATGTCGCCACCTAGCGGATGTGTTAAAGCTTGTTCTGCCTCCAAATTGGATTACGGATGAGGCACCTGACATGACACGGTATTGCACTTAGCAAAATCAGCAATAAGCACTTTGGGATCAGTGGGCCGAATGTAGTATGTTGTTTTGACTAGGTATCTTTGTAATATTACCAACGTTTTATTGGTATTTATGATCCATCGGGGTGGATGGGGAGGAGGTGGTTAGTTCTGGGTTCCAGTCCCCCGGGGAACCAGGACCTTTCTGTGTGGAGTCTGCATGTTCTCCCTGTGTCTGTGGGTTCTCTACGGGTTCTCCAGGTTCCTCCCACCATCCAAAAACCTGCAGGTTGATTGGACAATTGCCCTTAGGAGAGAATGTGAATGTGAGTGTGTGTGCTTGTTGGTCCTTGTGTGTCTCTGTGTATCCCGCTATGGACTGGTGGACCGAACAGGGTGTGCCCCAACTCTGACCACTGGGATAGGCTCCAGTCCCCCCGTGAACCGATAGGGAATACGCAGTTACGATAACAGATGGATTATGGATCCATCAGGGTTTCCATACATTGATGTCACTTGTTGTTTGTGTCTTAGAGAAGCCAGCTGTGTCCAGGTTGGAAGTTTTCCATTGACTGCTCCGACTTGTTTCACGTCCTCCTACACAGGTCATGTCTCGCTCCCGTGACCTGGGCCTGGGCCTTTCACTGACCGGCAGAGGGGAATTGTCCCTCGGTGGGCTGGTCAGGTCATCTGCATCAGTTCACACTGAGCAGCAACAGGTGTCTCCAACCAAAGAGAGAACCTTTGGAATATTGTGGCCTCTCACAGATAAAAAACAACAAAAAAACAAACAAAGTTATCCACATCAGCTGCTGATTCCATGTGTTATGCCCCCCCCCCCCCCCGTATCTGGTATCTCAGTGTGTGATGTAGAATCTTACATTAAATTGATAATAAATCAGCTTTGTGGCTTCTAAACCCACAGTAAAATTGCAGTCTTGTGATGGTGAGGCTATTAGTGGTTTTATTTCTTCCTATTTACACTCAAATACTTCTTTTCTGTCAGTGAATGTCATATGAATCCAAATTTAAGAGGAAATTCAGCTAATTCAGCAGCTATGTGAGGATTTTCTCCCACAGGTAAGCTGTCTAAATGTAAATACAGTAAATCGGGGGCCAAATCACTTGTATTCAAGTCCCAATTCTGAATGTGCACGGCTAATTCTCCTCAGAACTGTGACTGCAGCATTTACTGGTCAGCTGGACACTTTTTACAGATTTCTTGGGCAGATGGGCTTCATGTTTAAACTTTAAGGCACCCTGACCCAAATGCAGAAGAAATGTCACCTCTAATTTACTGAAAGAGAGGTGTAATATTAATAAACCACATTTAACGGTTTTGTTTTACTATGTGAGGATGCCTGTAGATTAAACAGAGCTGCATATCTTTGATTGCCTCTCATCTCTGACTGTGAGATGGTCGGGAAAGGGGGGGGGGGGGGGCAGCGCCCTGTCTTATGCCAATTGATTTGACTCAGGGTGGCTGTGATTGATTACTCTCATCATTTCTTTTATTTGCCTGTCAAACCAGAAACCTTCGTTTATTCGGGACGTGGCGGGATGGGGAGTAGCCCGAGACCCCCCCCCCCCCCCCGTCTCTTCACGAACCCGCCCCGCTTTATCCAGATGGCACCTGCTGCCCACACATCTGCATTGTGTGCCAATCACGAACACCGACTCCATGTTTTTTGCTTGAATGAGTAAGCACACTAGCACAACCACCCACACACACACATACACACACACATACAGACGCACACACACTAGTTGGATTCTTCAGTGTGTTGGACCTTTACTGGTTTTGTTCAATATAAGAAGGTGTGTCCTCTTCTAAAAAGGTTTTTGGCAAATAATGGATATGACAGTCTTTTACAAATGAATAAAGTTTAGAAAACACTTCACGTCCAAATGTTTTTGCACACATTTGAATTTTGAGATTTATTTTCAGCACTCCTTGGTTTTTGTTGTCTTTTTCAGTTGCTCTTGAACAGTCCTCAGTAAAAAAAAAAAAAAACCCAATGGGGAATTCTGATGTCATCTGTCACACATTCAGTCCATCCATCCGTTTCCTATACCAGCATTTTCTGCTTCAGTGTAGTGGGGGGTGCAGTGTCCCATCCCAACTGTCATTGGGTAAATGTGGTAGACCCTGGAGAAGATAGCTGTCCATCACACCGCCGCGTACAAGTCATCACCGTGCGTATGATCCAGTCCGGATGTTCAGGGCCTCCCCACAGATGTTTTCAGGCTTCCTGAAAGCTGTTTTTCAAAGTTCTAACGGTGGCAGGTTACCACTGATCGGTGGGTGTATAGCTGGGGCTGAGGTTAACCAGACTGGTGGAGGACAGGAGGAGGGTCTATTTTCTATCTTTTACTTTAGGATTGAATAATTCCTAATCCTTTAGATTCTGGCCCGTGTAGCTACATCTCAGTAAAACACAAAGCACTGCATTCTCTATATTATCACTGCATCTTCCTGTAGTTTATATATTCATTTTTGTGCTAGCAATCTGAAATTCCCCCAAAGAATGGCAGGGATACATGGTTTGAACTTTTACCTCCAGCATTTTAATCTTGGGTCAGGAGGAGAAATGATTCAACCAGCACCAGATGCACTCACCAAACTAAACTGTATGTCCAAGAGAATGTTTGCACCAGAGGACATTTCTTTCCCTCATACAAGTTCTTGTAATTGTGTTTGGGCAAGAAGAAGATAGCGGCACTTCTGGATTTTTTCGTATATGTCTGTTATATCCCCCCCGCGACCCCATTAGGGAATAAGCGTTAACGATGATGGATGGATGGATGGACGTCTGTTTTATGCATTGCTGAGCTTTAACTTGCAGATGTGGATGTGGTCACCAGCGATTCTCTGCAGAAAATATCTGGTTTCAGCCAGGTGGCCAGAAGATCACAGATTTCTCGCTGTAAAGGAATTTTGCTCCAGATTGACTGATTATCTAATATCATAATGCTACTTACATTATTAATTCCATTTTGCACACTTCTACTGTAAAAAAAAAAATCATAAATAGGTTTTGCTCACTTAGGCATCTGGAAAACGTGTTGTTAAGAGATGAATTATAAAAAGAGCTCTAGAATGAAGAGATCAACGTAAAAATATGTGATGGAGAGAGCCAGATTGTCCGTACCTTTATGAGTCTTCAGGTTTTTGACCCCAAATTACACTCCCAGTATTTATGTGATACTTGTCCCTTATATTTTTGCTAGTAGTTCTATATGTTTTTGTCAAATGTTGTCAAATGTATAGGTAGAACACACAAACTCCTCATAGGAATAACTCACCTGAGTTTTGAATCAGGACTCATCTTGGTTACGTATCCGAAATCACGTGTACGATTAAAATATTCCACTTAATAGTGGGCAGATGAGGTTGGGAGTTCAGGTGGTAGGCAGTTATCACTAAAAGTCATTTTGCCTATGGGGGGAAAACTGTGACAAATGGGACAAATCAATAAACAGCATCCACCGTTTTGCCCCGCGCCATGTTGCTAGCTGTTGTCTGACCGGCTCCTTACCCCCTGGACGCCGTGTGTCAATCAATAGTGCTTGGTATGGAAGGCAGGCGAGACCAGCAGGTGCGGGCTCTCTGTGGATGTGGAAAAACCAGCGAGCGGCCAGAGATCCTTTATGTTGTGTCGGATTGTCCTGCGGGTTTTTAAAGCGTGTCGTTGTGGAGCCCTCCCCGTTGTTTACCACCCTTAAGTTTCGCTCCTGAGCTGTTGTTCTGGGAAATGCCAGTGGTTTTCGACTTGACAGCGGGAGGCATTGTGCTCATGCAGGGCCCTTCTGTAATGCCACGCTGGAATAGAACCTCTTTGATCAGGACACAAAAACACAAACATAATAAATGGATTTCATGAAAAATAATGCCCTTACTTTCAAATCATGTCGCTATGTCTTTTCCTGTGCAGCTAAGATGCTAAACGGTCTTCTATAATCCCATGAAAACCTACTTCCTCTGTTTTCAAAGTGGCTTTTTGGATGGTTGACGTCATGCTAGCACACTTTAGCACACTAGCCCAGGCCAGTTTCAGAGTTTCCATGTGTAAGCTTTCACAGAAAAGACGGCCAACACTTCAGGGAGAGGATTTAGTGGTCTTCACGGTTAGAGCCGGGTGTCCCAGAAAGAGACGGAAAGGTGGAGGAGATCTGATGAGTTTATCTCTGTGGAAAAAATAGTTTATCCCAAAAACCAGTTGTCTCTCAGTCTGAGGTGATATCTAATGAGTGTGCTTTACAACCTGGCCCACACTATGACCACAACACACATGCAGACGCTGGGCTGAGCCGTGGA